TGAAGACTCTACCTTCTCACCTTCACAATGCTGCACAACTGGGATAAAAGTGCACTTCTGTAAGAAACAATTATGAGGATTCTAGCATGTTTTTCACACAGCCAGATGCAGTATTCAAAAGCCTTGCAAAGAATCACATGCTAATCTTAATGAATCAAAGAAGTAAAAACATAATGACAAAAAAAGCTTACCCCTTATATCTGCTGTTGCCAGTTCCTACCTAATTCAGAACACAAGCATCCGGTAATTCCCAGAATTTTCTGGGGCTGAGTCTGAAGATTAATTTGGACAGGAGTTATGTAACACACAGTTTGGAAAAGAAAGTGCATAGCTATGTGTCAGAACACATGCTCTGCTTGAAAAAGTTAACATGTTCAGTCCTCAATATCTCCATCTGAAAACAACTCTGATTATTGAGCTTGTTATTGTGTGAGTTGAGCAGAGTAGATAAATCTTTGTGGAAACCTCCACTGCTGAAGCCTTCATCTGCTGCGAGTTGATCTCCATGGCATTCGTCTCTGGTGCTGATCTTACCACCTAAGAATGCAGCATTCCCATTAATCAGACCGGAGGCAGAAGATAATTCTAAAGAGGCACATTTTATTCTCCAGTTGCAGTAAATACAAATTAACTATTTATAAGTAGATCAGAACATCAGCAGGCAGGAACAAAAAGAATTATCAGAGCTAACCAGCAGAAGAAAAAGACACAGCTCCACCCCACTCCCCCAAGCTGAGGGCTTAATTCATTTGTGGACACTTGCTAAACCTCCTCAAAGTCCAGCCTCTCCTTGTGACTCATAGTCAAGTGGACAATGGTTCTCACAAAACATGATGACCTAATATGTTTATAGTTGGCATCCATGTTCCCAGACACATACTGTCCTTGACTATCTTTTCTTGTGATTGTTTTTTGTATTCCACCTGCTGGCAAACTTTCCCATGTTGCCATTTTATACACAGACTACAATTCCCACATCTGTACATTTCCACAAATAAGTTACATTTTCCAACAGGGCTGTATTCCAGACGATCAGAAAACTGAAGCCTCTCTGAGGGCTGATGCAGACTAGCCTAAAGGGCCAGTCTGGGGTGGAGTTGGGGTGGGGTGACTGCATGCTGGCCACTCTGACTCCGCCCTGACACTGCCATCATGCCACACACTCAGCTGCATCCCGCACAGCATCAGGGTGCCCTGTTGACACAGCATGCACACAGCATGCAGACACACTGCATCAAAGGGGTGCAAAAGAGCTGCCGTGGTGGCTCTAAGGCTAGCTGTTTGCTGCCCCAAAAAGCAGCGGCATTTGCCAGCTCTTTTTTTGGAGCGGCAAAAAGGAGGATCGGAGCAGTGGCGTGTGGTTGCTGCAGCCCCAATCCAGCACTCCCCCAGGGGCCGTCTGCATTGGCCCTGAGCCAATGCAGACTTGCTTTAAAGACCTAGCTTGGAGATATGTTTCTGTTGACTCTATAAAAAGTTATGGATTGGAGACTTTAGCATAAAGAGGGGGGTTGCAGACTACCAGAAATAGTGCAAATTGAGTCCACTTTAAGGGTTAGGGTTAGAGCTAGGGAATCATGGCATTTTTTTTCTGAGACACTGAACCTTCTCTGTCAGAGAGCTCTGGTGCCACAATAAAATACATTTCCCATGATTACCTAACCCTAACCCTTAAAGTGGACTCAATTTGCACTATTTCTGGCAGTCTGCAACCCCCCTAAGAGAGCTTTTTTCCTCTCACTGTGGCTCAGCTCTGAATTTGGGGTTCTGCTCCTGCAGTGTATATTACAAAATAATGTTCCCAATTGCTTTTTAAATCACTATTTTGCAATTTAAAAGACAGCAAGCATATCACCTCCCAAATGCAGATCAACACCACAGTTTGGGGAATGGTTTAAACCTCCCTAGCACCCCATGCTAGATTCTTGATATGGAATGGGCCCTTGACATTTGCTATAGTGAAAAAGAATGAAAAAGACACAGCTGCTTGTTATGGACAGGGTCCTTTTGGCACCACTACTTTAGTTATACCACTGGCAAAAGCACAGGAGCAGGTTTCATGACAAGGAAAAAAAGCTGTTGGCAGCAAAGGAGAAGAAGGAATGGCTAGTGTTAGTTACAAGGTTGCCACTGCCCATATCTGGAATGTGCTTAGATTTCATGGCCAAGGCAATATGTGAGAGGTGCTTGGCCACCAGCTCTGGGACACTTGCCCACGCTATGCTATCCCTGATGATTTGGTTTTGTGGAGGCCCCTGGAAGCCAGGCATTTGTTATAGCTAGGCATTAGCCATGCAGGCATGAGAACCCTTTAGACAAAGCAACAATATAATGCTTACCTCCTAGCCTCAGTCCATTTACAACTGAAATAGATGATGATATGGGGAGAGACTGTGCAATGAAACAGTCAGAACATAGTTACCATGGAAGTGAAATTGAAGACAATGATTGTGTGTCCAAAGACACAAAAAATATAGCCTGGGTTGATAGCATCTCTATATTGCTACCTTTGATGGGTTTTTAAAAACAACAGTACAATTAGCATTCACCTCTGTAACAGTTTCCAGTGTTAAAATTTTCCTCTTAGTTCCAAGTTTTTTTCCTCCTCAGTCACACAAAAACATCTCGCTGAGTTTCCTGAACTGTTTTTTGTACCATTTGACATGGTTTTGACAGAATCCAAAAACCATTTTCTCCAGTTCTATAGAAGGCTCAGCTTGTCACTGTTGTTGTTGTAATGGCTTGAATGAAGTATTTCAATCTGAAATTGTTTGTAAAAGCACTGCCACTACTGCATGAGTTTTCTTGCCCATTTTCTTCTCTCAGGTTACAGCTTCTGTTTCATGTCGCCTGGATTTCCCCAGTATCCATTTTATTTCAAGAAGAAAACAAAGCAGAATCATCATTTGTTTCTCTCCCTCACTGAATGCATTACTGTGCTTGGTGTTAGTGTCAGTGGAAGACATTTCCATTTGCATTCAGGCTCCTTGTTTTGATAAATGCTTCCAAGAAACTCCAGCTCTTGCTGCTTGTTCCTCAGGAATCACTGCAATGAAAGACCGATAACACAGAAAGTAAATCTTACTCTCTTTGCCCTCTGATAGGCCTGGACCTTATCTAACCTCCCTTTTCTGAAATGATAATGACTTATCAAGGCATGCAGACATCTACTTAGGATCCAGCAGTTTCTTAACCCTTTTCACCAAAGACAGACAGCAATTTGGTTCAGTAAATCAGTTTATAATGATCTCAGACCAAAGTGTTTGACTTTGTGGAGTGTCATGCACAGTTGACTCTAGGGTCTCATTCCCACTTACATTTAAACCAGTTTGCAAATTGTAGACATGGTGGCACAAGGAGCCCTGGTGGTGCAGTGGTTAAATGCCTGTACTGCAGCCACTCACTCATAAATCACAAGGTTGCGAGTTCAATACTAGCCAGGGCTCAGGATTGACTCAGGCCTGCATTCTTCCGAGGTCACTAAAATGAGTACCCAACTGTTGGGTGGCAATGAGCTTACAGTTGTAAACCACTTAGATATTCCATAGCACAGTATGAAATGGTATATAAATGAGGCTGCTTTGCTTTGCTTTGCTTTGCTTTGCTTTGCTTTGCTTTGCTTTGCTTTGCTTTGCTTTGTTATTGACACCAGTTCACAGATTCGATTGAGGTCAATACCTAGTTCTCACTATGGAAGTGAATTATTTCCAAAATCCTTTGCATTCGTGTCTTTTTTGACACACTTGTAATTCACACTAGCCAGTATTTTGTGTATATATATTATATATGTGTGTGTATGTCAATCACATGACGTGCATGTACGCATCATCAGGGCCACCCTGGGTTGCTTCCCGGGATTCCGGAGCTCCAGGATCCCAAGCCTCCTAGGGAGCAGGCAGTCCAGGGGCTCCAGGATCGGGCGGGGAGGGGGCGATGACCAACATCCTTGGCAGAGAGGAAGCCAAGGGAGTTTTCTTGGCCAGTTTCTTCAGAGGAGGTTTCCATAGCCATCCTCTGAGGCTGAGAGAGTGGGACTTGTCCAAGGTCACCCAGT